GGGACAACATGACGAAACCGGCAGGAAAGAGCATGCAATCTATTACCTCAGCAAGAAGTTTAATGACTGTGAAACAAGATATTCGATGCTCGAGAAGACATGTTGCGCATTGGCTTGGGCAGCAAAACGCTTGAGACAGTATATGCTCACCCATACGACTTTGTTGATCTCCAAGATGGATCCTGTCAAATACATATTCGAGAAGCCCGCTCTCACCGGGCGGGTAGCTCGTTGGCAAATGGTGTTAACAGAGTATGACATCCAGTATGTGACGCAGAAAGATATCAAAGGGAGTGTGCTCTCTGAATACCTTGCCCACCAACCTATGGACAACTACCAGTCTATGCGTTTCGATTTCCCTGACGAAGACGTCATGTTTGCCAGAGATTATGCCACGCCAGGCCCAGATGATGGACCCGAACCAGGATCGCGATGGACGCTCGTGTTCGATGGTGCCGCAAATGCCAAAGGTTGTGGAATTGGGGCAATCATCACTTCTCCAACTGGCTTTCACTTGCCATTCACCGCCAGATTATGCTTTAAGTGTACTAACAACATGGCCGAATATGAAGCTTGTATTTTCGGAATTGAAGCTGCCATTGATAATAGAATCAAGATTCTAGAAGTCTATGGAGATTCCGCGCTTGTCATATGCCAGATTAAAGGGGAGTATGAAACACTGGACCTCAAGTTAATTCCTTACAGAGATCATGTCTTGAAGTTAATCCCGTACTTTGATGAGATCACTTTCCATCACATTCCCAGAGGAGAAAATCAGTTGGCTGACGCTCTAGCAACACTAGCATCTATGTTTCAAGTCAAGTGGGAGAATGAGGCGCCATCCATCCGTTTAGAATATTTGGACGAACCCGCTTATTGCCTAGCGGCAAAGGGGGAAGAAGTTAAAACTGATAATCATCCTTGGTTCTATGACATCAAACGATATCTAGAGACACAAGAATATCCGGAAGGCATAACTATCACTGACAAGAAGTATCTCAGAAAGCTCTCCTCAAAGTTCTTCCTCAGTGGTGACGTGTTATACAAGCGGAATTACGATTCGGTTCTACTCAGATGCGTGGATAAACACGAGGCAGAACGTATCATAAATGAGATGCATGAAGGGTCTTTTGGGACACATGCTAGTGGTCATACTATGGTTAAAAAGATTTTGAGGGCGGGATACTATTGGATGACGATGGAAACGGATTGTTGTCTCCATGTCCAATCATGCCACAAGTGCCAAATTTACGCAGACAAGGTCCATACTTCACCACTCCCTCTGAATGTTTTGACTTCGCCTTGGCCTTTCGCTATGTGGGGTATAGATGTAATCGGACGCATCGAGCCAACCGCTTCAAATGGGCACCGTTTTATCTTAGTGGCCATCGATTACTTTACCAAATGGGTAGAAGCGGCGTCCTATGCCAACGTCACTAAGCAAGTGGTGACTCGCTTCATCAAAAAAGAGATTATTTGTCGATATGGAATCCCGGACAAGATCATTACAGACAATGGTTCAAACCTCAACAATAAGATGATGAAAGAGTTGTGTGAAAATTTCAAAATTGAACACCACAATTCAACACCTTATCGCCCTAAAATGAACGGAGCTGTTGAGGCGGCAAATAAGAACATTAAGAAAATCGTCCAGAAGATGGTGAAGACTTACAAAGACTGGCACGAGATGTTGCCGTTCGCGTTGCATGGCTACCGCACCTCAGTGCGCACTTCCACAGGGGCAACCCCGTTTTCTCTCGTATATGGCATGGAAGCAGTATTTCCCATTGAAGTAGAGATTCCCTCCTTAAGGATTTTAGCAGACGTCAAGCTAGATGAGGCCGAATGGATACAAGCCAGACTCGACCAACTCAATCTCATCGACGAGAAACGCATGACGGCCATCTGTCATGGACAATTATACCAAAAACGATTGAAGAGGGCCTTTGATAAGAAGGTTCGCCCACGATACATCCAAGCAGGAGATTTGGTACTAAGGAAAATTCAGCCAACTCACGTCGATCCAAGGGGAAAGTGGGCACCAAACTATGAGGGTCCGTATATAGTAAAGAAAGTTTTCTCCGGAGGGGCCTTGATCCTGTCAACCATGGATGGTGACGATCTCTCATCCCCTGTGAATGCAGATGCAGTTAAAAAATATTATGCCTAAAAGATAGGCCCGGTGGACCCAAAAAAAAAAAAAAAAAAAAAAAATCCACGCAAAAATGGGCGTCCTGGTGGACCATAAAAATGGTTCAGGCAAAATTAGGGACTAGAATTAAAAAAAAAAGAGTATCCTGATAGGCTGAAAACCTGAAAAGGCGGCCTAGGCAAAAGTTAGGGATTCAAAAAGGCAGAACTGCATCTTGAAAAGACGTGTGAATTATTCCTCGTAACCATCAAGCTCTCAACTGAGAAAGATCAATTCGATTCTGGCGCTCGAAAGCAAGGCATGAAGGGTCTTCAGAGACATATGGGCCATAGCGGATTTGAAACTTGGCAGGGACCATTTTCAACATTGCCTTAGTCTTTATTTTCTCTTTTTAAAAGCAGTTACCTCTTTTAGGAATTGCCTCCTTTTGTAATTTTCCCATTTATGGGTTTTCATCAATAAAATTACTTTCATCAAAGCTTTTTCTGTTTTTATTTACCCTTTGGTTGCAAGTTTCATTTATTTGATGATGGGTTTTGCATATAATGACATTATGGTAAATTAGATTAAGGGATAACTTACCCTCTTGGGGTAACTAAAGGGTGACCATGACTCTAAAGAGTACGCAGGAACATCATTCTAAATCTTGTAACAACTTGACTGACAAGGTCGTCAAACCCGGCAGAGCAGGCCATGAGCTGAAAATCTCAATACATCCAAGTTCTTTATACATCATAAATAGATGATGTCGGGAAGTCAGGCTTATCTTTCACTTTCCCACCACCAAAGCCCGCCATGTCGGCACCTGCATTTCCATTACTATCCGCAATCCTATACATCATACGCATCGCATTTAGCTTCATAAGTATCTTGCATCATGTACAGATCCATAATCATATCATACTTCCCCCAACTCTTGCATCTCCGCACATTAGCATGTGCACTACCGTTTCCATTTCCGTTTTTGGGACATCTTTATCATTCAGCATTAGCATGTGCGAGATCGGATCCAGGATCCATTTTGATGATTTTCAAGATCATCATCAGCCCAGTCAGGGGCATCCCTTGCAAAATCGTGGTTTTTTCCCACGAGAGTCAGAGGATATCAAGATCATAATCAGCCCGGTCAGGGGCACTATCTGCAAAAATGTGGGTCCTCCACAAAATCTCTTCAGAGAAGCTTATCCATCTTCAGCGATAAGTGGCAATCTCTTCAGAGAAGCTTATCCATCTTCAGCGATAAGTGGCAATCTCTTCAGAGAAGCTTATCCATCTTCAGCGATAAGTGGCAATCTCTTCAGAGAAGCTTATCCATCTTCAGCGATAAGTGGCAATCTCTTCAGAGAAGCTTATCCATCTTCAGCGATAAGTGGCAATCTCTTCAGAGAAGCTTATCCATCTTCAGCGATAAGTGGCAATCTCTTCAGAGAAGCTTATCCATCTTCAGCGATAAGTGGCAATCTCTTTAGAGAAGCTTATCCATCTTCAGCGATAAGTGGCAACCTCTTCAGAGAAGCTTATCCATCTTCAGCGATAAGTGGCAATCTCTTCAGAGAAGCTTATCCATCTTCAGGGATAAGTGGCAATCTCTTCAGAGAAGCTTATCCATCTTCAGCGATAAGTGGCAATCTCTTCAGAGAAGCTTATCCATCTTCAGCGATAAGTGGCAATCTCTTCAGAGAAGCTTATCCATCTTCAGCGATAAGTGGCAATCTCTTCAGAGAAGCTTATCCATCTTCAGCGATAAGTGGCAATCTCTTCAGAGAAGCTTATCCATCTTCAGCGATAAGTGGCAATCTCTTCAGAGAAGCTTATCCATTTTCAGCGATAAGTGGCAATCTCTTCCGAGAAGCTTATCCGATCCCTTTCACCCTTTTTGGTGTTAGGGTTGATTTTGTCTCCGCTCCATCATCCTTTTGGTGGGGGTCCAACATCTTTTTGGTGTCATGACTAGCGTGCTTGCCCATTATCCTTTTGGTAATGGATCCCCTATCATCCTTCTGGTGGTAGTGGCCGGTGTGAGTTTCGCTCCGTCATCCTTTTGGTGGGGGGTCTGTCATAGTCATTAATGTCAGATTGTGCGAGTGTGTTTGCTCTATCATCCTTTTGGTGATAGTAGCCGTGTGTGTTTCGTCATATCATCCTTTTGGTGATGGAAACCTTTTGCTAGTCTTTCAATGTTTACTCAGAGGTACACCTTTATCTATCATTTCAATTTCCGAGCATCTCTTTTCTTTTCGGACAAATTCAGGGATTTCTTTATATCTAATTGACTTCTACCTCAGGAGAATGAATGCTGCAGCAATTCATTTCCTCGGTTTAAGCCAACTAGATAGGGGCATCTGTCATACCCCAAATTTGTCCAACCTGTTTATATACCCGCCCTTTATCTATCATATGATGTTTCTATCAGAAGGTTGAAATGAATCGAGTCAAGTTTCATGTTGGGTTTTATCAGGGAGGTCATAAGTGAAGATGTTTCGTGGTTGAAGATTATTCGGGGCCAGATCATTCCTATTTTAGGGATTTTGTGTAGTAAAGTTCTTGTTTTATGTTTCCATGATTAAAACATATGCAAGTGAAGCTTCAAAGGAACTCCTGGCATAATTTAAGAGGTGATTCTTTTTGAATAAATAAATCCTCAACCATGAGGTTGTTTCAAATTTTATAAATTTGATTCATTTTTATTCTTATTAATATTATTATTACCCCCAATTTTTCTTTTTTGAATTTAAATTGATTACTAGATTGTGAAAAATCTTGTTGTGGAGATTCAATTTGGTCCTTTTTCCTTCCTTTGTTTGGATTTTTCCACAATCAAGTGCTTAAATTTGAAGGTGATTTTATCATGGATCATGTGATTGGTGGGAAGTTTAAACTAGGAAGGAAAATTGGGAGTGGCTCTTTTGGAGAGCTCTATTTAGCACTTAATATACAAAGTGGAGAGGAGGTGGCTGTTAAGCTGGAATCTGTGAAGACCAGGCGTCCACAGCTTCACTATGAGTCGAAATTGTATATGCTTCTTCAAGGAGGAACGGGTATTCTCCACCTCAAATGGTTTGGTGTTGAGGGAGAGTACAATGTCATGGTTATCGATCTTCTTGGACCAAGTCTGGAAGACTTATTCAATTATTGTAACCGGAAATTTACATTGAAATCAGTGTTGATGCTTGCTGATCAATTAATTAATAGAGTTGAATACATGCATTCACGAGGCTTTCTTCACCGCGACATAAAGCCAGACAATTTTCTGATGGGCCTCGGACGTAAAGCAAATCAAGTGTACGCTATTGACTACGGCCTTGCGAAAAAATATAGGGATCTTCAGACTCACAGGCACATACCATACAGGGAAAACAAGAACCTTACCGGCACAGCACGCTATGCAAGTGTCAACACTCATCTTGGAATCGAACAAAGCAGAAGGGATGATCTGGAATCTCTTGGTTATGTGCTCATGTATTTCTTAAGAGGAAGTCTTCCCTGGCAGGGACTGAAGGCTGGAAACAAAAAAACAAAAATACGATAAAATCAGTGAGACAAAGGTGTCAACTCCGATAGAGGTGTTGTGTAAAGCATATCCCTCTGGGTTTGTATCATACTTCCACTATTGCCGATCATTGAGATCGGTAGCAGCTCTAGAGGACAGCATCACGACAATAACAAATAAACTTTTTCCTAAACCCTCAGCAGCTTTAATCACGCACTACTCCAATTTCTCCCGCTTGCGACCACCACAGAACCGATACAGACCTGCACGTACACAGAAGGACAACATAAGCTCACAATGAATGTCAGACATAGTCCAAAAAGCCACAAGCCCTCGTACAGTTTCACCTCATAAACAATCTCATGATACTCCTGATAGCACATGTGCCCAAGTGGTGGTTACAAAGTCTGAAAACATTAGTAGTAGGTGGGTCCAGGCCACAGAAAAAGAATGCATCTCTTGCTTTGCCGGTGATATTAACCCGCTTGAAGCAGAAACAGGAGTCGTGTTCGGAAGATCCTTGTAATGTTTTAGAGCTGTCTGGTATGGCTGATGGTTTTATGGGAGAGGGTCATGTGGGTTGTTCTGGAGGTTTTGGTGAAGTTACTGAGGGGTCTGGAGATGGTTTGAGAAATGAATGTGAGATTGATGATTTATTACAGTTGGAGATGGGTGCTGAAGATGGTTGTCGAAATAGTTTGGGGGGTTGTTCTGAGGATATTGATGTTTCTGATTTTATAAGTGGTGGACTGCACTCGGAGGGAAATTTTCAAGATGAAGCGAATGTCGACCTTCCAAATAGTTTGCAGAAGCGTTGTGTTGAACAGGGGGAGCAGAAGGATGAGAAGAGTGTTGTTTTATCATTGCCAGAAGATGCAAGGTCACGTGTTAAGAAAGTTTCTGTTATTCGTAACCTCTGTCTGAAGGTTGGTATAACCGTAGCAGCACGTAAATATGATCTTAGTTCTCCAACACCATTCCAAACATCAGATGTATTTGATCTCCGTCCCGTGGTCAAGCATTCAGTTCCTTCATGCTCTGAAGCCAAGGAACTTGTGGAAACTGGAAAACTTCAATTGGCTGAGGGCATGCTCGGTGAATCCTACACTTTATTTTCAGAGGCATTTTCCATTTTACAACAGGTTACTGGTCCCATGCACCGGGAGGTTGCTAATTGCTGTCGGTATCTTGCAATGGTTTTGTATCATGCTGGAGATATGGCTGGCGCTATTATGCAACAACATAAGGAGCTAATTATAAATGAGCGTTGTCTTGGTCTAGATCATCCTGACACTGCTCACAGCTATGGAAATATGGCTCTGTTCTACCATGGACTTAACCAGACAGAACTTGCCCTTCGCCATATGTCACGTGCTTTGCTTTTGTTAAGTTTGTCATCAGGGCCAGATCATCCCGATGTTGCAGCAACTTTCATAAATGTGGCAATGATGTATCAGGATATAGGAAAGATGAACACAACTCTTCGTTATCTGCAAGAAGCTTTAAAGAAAAACGAAAGGCTTCTTGGCGAGCAACATATTCAAACAGCTGTTTGTTATCATGCACTTGCCATTGCATTTAATTGTATGGGTGCTTTCAAGCTCTCTCACCAGCACGAGAAAAAAACATATGATATACTTGTTAAACAACTTGGTGAAGATGATTCTAGGACTCGGGACTCACAAAACTGGATGAATACATTTAAGATGCGGGAGCTACAGTTGAATGCTCAGAAGCAAAAAGGTCAGGCTCTGAATGCAGCTTCAGCTCAGAAGGCTATTGATATCTTGAAGGCTCATCCTGATTTGATACATGCATTCCAAGCTGCTGCAGTTGCCGGGGGATCTGGAAGTTCAGGCGCAGCTGCCAACAAATCCCTCAATGCTGCAATGATAGGTGAAGCTCTCCCCAGAGGAAGGGGAATCGATGAAAGGGCTGTACGAGCAGCGGCCGAAGTCAGAAAGAAAGCTGCGGCAAGGGGTCTCTTAGTGCGTCCTCATGGTGTACCAGTTCAGGCAGTGCCGCCCCTTACACAACTTTTGAACATCATAAATTCAGGCGCGACTCCTGATGCTGCAAACAATGGGAATGCAGATGGAGCAACAACATTAACGACCTGGCTTCCACTAATACATATGTTGCACCACACCAAATAACGGCGGCGGCGCCATCATGTTTGTAGCGACGGTTGTTTTATCCGTCATAACCACGCCTGCATTACTCTTACTCACAGTTGCACCCATTTGAGCAGCTTTTTGTAACAATGTTGTGGCGGACATGTGAGGCGAGGTTGCAGCTGCAGATAAATGGAGTGATCCGTTTTCTTCTAAGATGTTGATTGAGTGAGTTGTTTGAACTCAGTTGAAGAGAAGGAGATGAAGTTGACGATGAAAAGACTTCTAGTGAATATATTGCTGTTGAAGGGTTTTACAGGAACTGACATGAGATCGTGAGGCGATGATAATGGATGTTGCATGTTTGATAACTGTACTGAACCTTCGTTGGCTTTGTTGTTCTCTTCAGCTAATGCATCACAGAAAGCTCGAAAAAGAAGAAGAAATAGTTGTGATGAACATGGAGAATTTTCAAGAGATCTATGTTCCTGATAATCCTGATCCTACTATACCACAACTCCAAAACCAGAAACAACAAAAGTTTCGACGAAATGATTCTCTTGAGATTGAATCTCGCACCACCTCTCACCTCCATCACTCTAAGGGGCCATCAATGGCGTTAATACTGCAACTGGCGTTTCAAAGTCTCGGAATAGTTTATGGAGACATCGGAACTTCCCCGTTGTACGTGTTTTCAAGCGTCTTCCCGGGCGGTATTAAGCACAACGATGATATATTAGGAGTTCTTTCGTTAATCTTCTATACACTCACTCTCATTTCTCTTCTCAAGTACGTCTTTATCGTCCTAAGAGCCACCGATAATGGAGATGGTGGAACATTTGCTTTGTACTCTCTGATATGCCGATACGCGAAAGTGGGACTAATTCCGAATCAACAACTAGAGGATGCAGAGGTGTCTAATTATAAGCTGAAATTGCCAAACAACCGTGAAAAGAGAGCGTCCAAGCTTAAATCTATGATTGAGAACAGTCACGTGGGAGGGATCAAGGAAGCTGCTAGCAAAATAACTGACGATCAAATTGTTTGGATATCAGTGGCAATCTTGATTGTTCTTTTCATGGTTCAGAGATTTGGAACTGATAAAGTTGGTTACAGTTTCGCTCCCATAATCTGTATATGGTTCGCTCTCATTGCCGGTATTGGTGTGTACAATTTCATCAGGCATGATACATCGGTTATAAAAGCGTTGAATCCGAAATACATAGTAGATTATTTCATCAGGAATAAAAAAAATGCTTGGATTTCTCTTGGTGGCGTTGTTCTCTGTACAACAGGAACTGAAGCATTATTTGCCGATGCTGGACATTTCACAGTTCCGTCTATACAGATAAGTATGTGCTGTGTTACTTATCCCGCTCTTATTTTGGCTTATGCCGGACAAGCCTCATTTCTTCGCAAAAACAATGATCTTGTTAGTGCCACATTCTATAAGTCCATACCAGACTCTATGTATTGGCCAATGTTTGTGGTTGCTGTTTTGGCAGCAATTATAGCTTCTCAAGCGATGATCTCAGGGACTTTTTCTATAATCCAACAATCTCTATCATTAGGATGTTTTCCTCGCGTGCAAATTGTACATACATCGAAAGAGTATGAAGGACAAGTTTATATTCCTGAACTTAATTACATCCTCATGATTGCTTGTATTGCCATCACCGTTGGTTTTAACAACCACCACATGATACAGCCTTCATAAAAGACAAAGACAAGAGAGTTGAGCTAGTACAAAATTTGAAACTTACACATCTAGTTCTACCACAGTGAAAATCATGAGTAAATAACAGAAGATACAGTCAGCACAAACAGACGAAATTCAGAGACAAGAAAATAGGACAGCAGAGCCAGATTCACTAAAATGGAAAGACATGGCCTGGGCATCAAAAAGTGCTAGCAGAAATGATACACTATCTTGATTCAAACATAAAAAAAACCCTAATCTCCCATCATATATATTTGTTACCATTCATTCAGAAAGGAGGCTGGTAGAAAAAGAGGAAAAACCCTAACCATTGCAGCAGCCACCCCAAACTCTTCACCAATTCCATCCTCATCATCCACCCATTCTTGCAGCAACCTTAACCTTCGTTTCATTTCCCTCACCTTTGAACACCGTTTTCGAACAGCTCATACTACCACCTCAACTTCAAACCCAACTCAACAATCCATCTTCCTCATAAACTCACTGTAAACTTTGCAACCAGCATCCAAACCACAGCAGTACTTTCATCGAACACGTGGTGAGCGGGATTGTAGACCATCAGAAATCAAGCTGCCATCGTTCTGATAATCAACCATCCACCGCCGCACCGCCAAAAGAAGAACAGAAACGGAAGTGCAGGAGAAGAGTGAGAAGTCGAAACCAAGCAGAAGGAGTTTCGAATTTGAGGTAGTTCGACTTTTGTTCATTGCGTTTTCATGCTCACGTTTTCGTTTTGATGTTGTGGTATTCGAATCTGAGTGTGTTGCTTACAAGTGCCACGGTTGTGTACGTATATCTCCAGTGCGTACGTGTTTGTATCTTTCTGTTTGGTCATCACAATCTAATGTCCTTTGTTTTCTGTTTCTATTATTTTATTGAATCTCAAATGAAATGTTTAGAGTTTTATAATTTTATTTTGGTAAATTTAAGTTATAGATATATAAATTTCTTTTTCTAATATATTGTAAATATTCTAGTATCTATTTGTAAATATTTTAATATTTATTTTGTAAATACTATATACATATTACTTTAGGTTTTCTTATATATTTTTTAGATTACTTTACATATCTAATTTTCTATTTATTTTTTCTTTAAAGTTTTAAGAACCTTATCTTATTTATTTTAAGAGTTTTCTTATATATATTTAGAATGTCATTTCTCTTTTTGTTTTGTTAGAACTTTGTAAAGTATATTGTGGTTTT